TGGTGGCGATAAGGATTTTCGGCCCACCGAATATGTATAGTTTTCCTCCTCGAATTTCCTGAGGTCACTTTCCCGCAATCGAGCATTAGTGGTGCAGCTAAGGAGGGCTTAGCACCCCCCCCTCCACAACCCGACCAAGTTTTAACCGCTCCACAACCTTTTCGAATTTTATGTAATAGCTTACATGTACCAGTTGCCCTCAACCAAATGTACCAGTTACCCCCAACAGAATGTACCAATTGCCCTCATATGTAAATATATATTACGATTACAATAGGGGAGGTAAATAAACAAATAGTAATTATTATAACAAAACATAGTACATCGAAAGCATATATCGAATTTTTATACTATTTTTTTGTTGAACAATTATTACATTGAATGTCAAATAATTATAATATTTATTGTTTTATTGACTAATGTGTTCACATTATTTTGTTAGTAATTGTTATTTATTATCCAAGCATATGAATTTTTTTCCATCATTTTATACTATTTCAAACAATTTGATTTGTTATTATTTATTTGTATATTTACGGGCTATATATTGTAATCGTGTATATAGTATATATTAACATGTAAGGGCAACTGGTATATTTTTAAAATCTCGATAAAAGCCTTGGGGGGGGGGCAACTGGTCAACACCTATAATAGCCCCCAACCCCCTATGGGTTATTTCAAAAGAATAATTTTGTCGGTTTAGTTCATTGGTTGTACCCTCCTCCCAGAATGTCAACTCTAACTGTGCCTTTGCGGACCTGCCATGTCGATTGGCATCTCGATGTTTGCTGTGCACAGTTATATATCTAATAATAAAGTGTACTCTCGGTAACTCGAACCTTGATAACTCGAAATTCTCGACATCTTGAACAAATAAAATTCTCCTTCCAATAACAATAACCTAACCTATAGTTGTACGAGTATAGATTTTGATGTCAGTACATACAGCATATTGATATTATATTTATTAGCTAAACCATATTCTAAAATAGAACACTCTAGAGAAAAATATAAAAATAATTAAGCATTTTGGAAAAATCCAAATCCTTGGAGATAACATCGTTCTTCTCATAAAATCTCAGCCTTTTTGGTTTTTAAGATGTTTCTCGTTGATAAAATGTTTTGTTCATCAGTCAAAAAGTCTAAGCATTCAATACAAGGTTAGGTTAGGTTAGGTTTATACCCAGGTTACAACAAACCCAAATCTACCAGTGCAATATAGACACGATTTCCACCAATTAATTTTACACCAGCGTGTCGACGCTTAATAATATAATATCAAACGAACGATTATTGCCATTATTTTTCCATATAATTAAGAAAATCAAACTCTGAGATGTCAATAGTATGCTATCGAGCGAAAATACGTTGAAATTTCTGTTGTTTTGTTAATACAGAGAGGACAGTTAACGACAAAGTGAGTTTTCTTGGAGATTTCCGACGATTTTGAAAACCTGCACTAAACATTTTTTTATACTTTCGACCTCCCCAAGTACCAACTAGATTCACTTTCCTGCCGGAAAATACGTTGAAGTAGAAAACCGTAGGCGGGCACACACTGTTGAGTCATTTCGTATCGAAACGCACACGGAAGTTTAAGCTCTTAACGTTCGGGTTGTCAACTCCGTCGTGCGTAATACGCGTACAGTGTACATAACGTCTGGTTATCGCCGGGGCCATGTCTTCCATAGATGCGTATCGATCGATTCGGCGGAAACTTCGTACAAATAATAATAATAATAATATGTAATCGACTCTGCTCGTTCGACGACACGAGCCCGAAGGCGCAAAGGATTTTTGGCACATCACGAATGTATAGTTTTCCTCCTCGAATTATTTCCGGTATTTACTTTCCCGGGTCGACGTCAATCGAACGGCATCGGCGCGGCTGGGAAGGTCTTAGGAGTTTCCATTAGCTTGTCGATTATCGCGTTCATCATCTTTATAGTTTGTTGTCACAATCTATACGTTTATTTAATAATATACTGTACTCTGCGGGCAGATACTAATTTGGTTAGTCACAAAACAATTCCGAATAACACGATCGACTTATTTCAAACTACAAAAAAATATTTTTGAAGGCTCCTTCGAGGGTATAAACATCAGAGCTAGCACCTAAAATAATTACGATTTACGGTACACGAATCGTATAAAATGTAAGTTTTGTAAAACGTAAATTTTTAAAAAATATGTTAAGTCATTATAAAGTAATTTTTAGTATTTTTGTGGTCATTTTTTGATGTTTATGAGTAATTTTAAAAATTTTTTGTGTAATTTTTTTTAAAGATTTTTAGGTCATCAAGTTCCGGGCACTAGTCATAACTTATACGATGTCGATATTAGAGTTATATGTCATGCAAGGCCTTCTTACCAACCCCCTCCCAACCTTGGGACGCCATCGACTCGGAAATTTTACTTTTGACCCCTCCTGAAGTACCAACTAGATTCACTTTCCCACCGGAAAAAAGAGCTGAAACTAAATATCACACACATTATTGAGTCGTTTTGTATCCAAACACGTTTAAACGTAGTTTAAACTCGTGACGTCAATTTGTTCTACTATGCTCAATACTCGTAGGTATAGAGTTGGTACATAATGTCTGGTTATCTCCGGGGGTCGTGTCGTCCGTGTGCGTATCAATCGGTTCGGTATGTAAACGTTGTAGGTACAAATAATAATAATAATAATGATAATAGGTACAAAATCGACCAGATTCGTTCGACAAGTAGCTCGCTGGGCCAAGGATTTTCGGCACGTCAAACACCTATATCCAGTTTTTCTGGTCAACTTCCCGGACTTGACTTTCCCGTTCCTACTTTGATTACCATGATTGATACGATTGATACGATGCGTGTGCATCTCGACGTTCTAGAAAATATAAAATATTAACCATAATTATATAAAAACGAATGTTTATATGTGCACGAAATCGCGTGGACACCTCGACCGCTGAACCGATCTTGAAGATATAATATTTTATACATTGTACTTATATTTAGTCTATTCAGAATAAGATCAAACCAGATTTACGTAGCAAAACCGGTATTGACCATGGCATCATGGTATGTTCTTAATCCGAATAGATTATAGTAATCGTTGTACAAAGGCTAGTAACGTCATAATACATTAGGCTACGTCTTTTCATCTGAGAATTCGACCCTCAAATGTCGACTCACGCATGCATTTCGTTTCGGCTAACGAAAATTGAAAATTTTTCTGTCTACAGGGTTATAAAATGTATAGGATTGTTTACAAAAAATTAAATAGTTAAGATTATGATTATTAATTCAATTTGTATTTTTTTTTTAATGAGATTCTGATACAAATATTGTTTGGAAAAACTTTTTTTTTCCTGGTCAGTTATATGTTTTAAGTAGAATAGGCGAGCGGCAATCATAAAAGTGTGTACGGACCACCTACACAGTCTATTAAAAACATGGCACAGTACTTCGTCTACCTCATGGCTTTTGAAAATTATTTCTTTTACAGTGATTTACGTTATTCACAAATGCAAAGCATTCAAATTTTATATAAGCTGTGATTTTTAATATCTCGCTCACCGACACACTTGGCTGTTTGTCTGTCTGTCTGTCTATCCGTCTGTCTGTCTGTCTGTCTGGCCGTCTTGTCCGGGGCGGTATAAGAAAACAAGCACATTAACCAATTTTGACGTCTTCTTGACACCGTACACTTATTAACGTTAACAGTTACAAACAATGTTACGGTGATGAGCAGGAAGGTGAGTTGTCACGTAATAACGCAAGCAGGGCATAGCTTTCGGTATTCAAAATGTTTTTACAAACTCCTGTAAGTGATTCTCTTAGCAAGCCCCGGCTAATATGCAGCTTTATATAAATTATATATTTTATATATGTAATGAAATCTAGCGATAGCAAAGCATTAACGATAGGTCAACTAGAGCTCTGGGTGCAAAGGATTTACGGCATGTCGAATAGTATAGTTTTCCTCCTCGACTTTCGGGAATTTACTTTCCCAAAGACTGTAATCCCCACGACAATTACTTCGTTTACATGATATGAGTTGAGTTGTTCTTAATTTAAACCGATTTCATTATGAGTCAACCTAAATATCTGAACTTGTTTACATATGAGTAGTGTTTGAAAATTTCATGAAATTTAAAAAAATTAAATATGTGAAATATTTCAGTATTTTAATATATTTTGTTTTATTTTTAAATAAGTTTTATATTTACATATAATTGTCATAAATTACCTCCATCACTATATGGTACCTGTATGTATACCTAACCTTTGGTATTATACATTTAAATTGGTATTCAAAATTTTTAAATATTTTAATGTATAAATGATACAAGTAGGTATACAATATTATACCTGTATATTGTATACTTACTGAATTCTGACATTATAATTTAGAACACTGAACGTTGTGTTAAAAAAATAAATAAATTGTTTTTTTATTTGTGTTAAAAAAATTTCAATGTTTCACGTTTTTGTGAAATATTTCACAACTTGGTGAAATATTTCTCATACTTCAAACACTACATATGAGTCTTTAATCTTAAATCGGTATGTTATAAAATGCATTATTCCACGAAATTGATATTTCTTCCAGCTCCATTATCATATTTAATACTTTTGACTTATCAATAATATCAATAATAAGTGTTTACAACTCGTTTTACAATATGTACAAAAATACAGCCAACTTTATTAATTATCAAACCGATTTAATTCGGTTAAACAACATATTCGAGGGTCCTTAAAATAAAAACGGTTTATATTATTAAGGTCTATTTAAAGCTTTTACAAGACGAATGATTAAACCACTTTAGTTTTTAAACCTACTTTAGTTGTGCATTATGTAAACGTAGTAAATATATCATATTATTGTTAATATATAAAAAGTTAATTAATAATTTGTTTAATTTGTTTATAATATTATTATATAATAATATATATTACAAGGTTATTATATTATATCACGTCCTTACCGCATACTCGTTATATGATTTCAGATCGGATGTTGTGGAGCCGACGGACCCAACGACTACTTGTCGCTGAGGAAAGCTTTGCCCACCGAGTGCAGGGACACGGTAACCGGTAACGCGTTCTTCTATGGCTGTGCCGACGAAGTGACCTGGTTCTTGGAGGACAAATCCCGGTGGACTACCAACATAGCCATATCTATAGCCGCTTTGGAGGTAATCGTCGATTTACGATACATGATAATAATATGTGATTTTCACCTGTGAAAGGGGGGGGGTACGTATTATGACTAGTAATACATTTTAATGAATTGTCGTAGTGATACCAAAGACAAAAATAAGAGGATTTATTGGCCAATTTGTGAGAGTTAGAACCTTTAACACCCCCCCCCCCCTTTTACCACTAGGCACTTTACTGGCTATTAATTAATACATTATAAAATTGTTTGAATCTCAAAAAGATTGATATACATCATAGCCATTTACTCGGCTATAAAGGGTGGAATGAACCAACAGCACAATAACATCTGGTATTTTCTACACGATGACGGTGTACCAGATTCTAGACGGTTCTAGAAGGTTTCATAAAAGGTCTCTGGTTACTGAGTGTAAAAGGTATGGGAGCTATGGTGATTTGAAAATTGAAATCGATAATATTAATCTATCAACTTTAATAATTTGTAAAAATGGCCAAAGTATAATAAATACTTATTCAGACTGTCTTATATAATATTTTGTAAAACAGTTTTTAAGGACTATTATCAGTAGTACAAACATTTTAGTAACTTAGAAACCACTCATTCGAATTTTGGGAAATACATCAAAATTTCCAAAAAAAAATATACTCTCAATAATATACCGTAAAAAAAAGTTTCATCGATACGTGGCACTCTTAATACGTAGCACAACAAAATTCAAATTTAAAAAAATTGTTTTTGAGTATATTATGAAAAAATTAAAAAAATCAGAATTTGAACTAGCTCATTGTTCTAGGAGAAAACGGGGGTGATAGTGCTTGGGGAATATTTACCCTGTATGGTCGAAGGACTTATTAAAAAATAAAAACAAAGAAGAGTAATATTATTCAGTTATATACCTATAACGGGTAAAACAGAAATATGGTTCTTAAATTCTAAAGTTTATTTCTTTCTTCAATTTTTTATTTCGTCGTTTAATGTTACCTGTGATATTTAAAGGTTATGAGCTTATAACCTTATCCTTACTGCACAATACAATTGTGTAGGTATTATTACGAAGGCACGTTAACGTTTCTTTTTTTTTTCCAATCCAATTTATAGTATAAAATATTATGTATTATAGTCCGTCTACAATGAAACTTCAAACAATGCGCAATACATAATGGCCAGCGGATGTTCATTATGATCGATATTCTATAATCACAGTGTTCGACGACGAACGACTAGACATTTCGAAATCCTTCCTTTATTATTATTGCTATACCATAATATCATAATAGCAAGGGATGCCGTCAGATAACATTCCTGCTGAATACGAAATGGGTCTTTTTCGCGTTTACCGCCTCAGCTATAGCCAAACAGAACATTACTGTAGGCGCTTTAGGTGTTAACCTTATCTGTACAAATATAATGTTCGTCCGACAAAATTATTTACTTAAATATTTAAGTATTTTATTATTATTTTGTTTAGACGATTTTTTTTCAGTAATAAAAAATTGAACGGTTACACTACCGGTAATTCTGACCCTCGGCTCTTGTGTTATGATCGTGATATCGAACTCATGTTTCTCACTTATTGAACAAAAAAAATCATTTATCGTATAGGTCGTTAAGTCTCATTGTAGTTTTTTCTGCGACAGCGATATCACAGAGAAAGCCGAGTATTTTATATTATAATTCTCATAGAGAATGTTTACCTGCTTGAATTTTAAAAGTGATCACCTGTAAGTTATACAAGTATAGGTGTAGAATTTATTTCAGTATAATATAATATATTATACTATGACCGTTTAAACTTATTCGTCTGATAAAATTATTTGTTCGGAAATGTACCATATTATTTTAATTTCGCTGTTTTTTCTGTTTTCAATACAATAAAAAATTCAACAATTAGGTACCTAACCCAGGATCATGTATTAATAATAATATTGAGCCTTATTCATATTATTTATCGTTCATTGATAAAAGCAATCATTTATAGTAAAGGTTGTAAAGTTTTATTTTAGTTTGCTCTCCGATCACAATATTATACAGAAAGCTAAGTTTATATGATTTCAAAGAAATGTTTATCGGTTTTAAATTTTAATTTTAAAGTGATTAAATTATAGGTAGATATACTCGTATACCGTTTATTTCAATTGAGTACATTTTTTTATTTCATTAAATAATATATTATTATATTATGGACTTAATAATATTCGTCTGATAAAATTATCTATTTGGAAATGTACCATATTTATTTGGATGGTTTTCAGTTTTCAATACAATACAAAATTTAACAATAATTCCACTAACCCTTAATCGTGTGTTAATCATATTGACATCGAATTCGTATTTCTCTTTCATTGACAAAATCAATCATTTATCGTAAATGTTGTAAAGTTGTATTTTAATTTGCTCTGCGATCGCAATATCACACAGAAAACCGAGTACCTATTTAGAGTACCAGTCTTAACTCTTAAAAAATGTTTAATGGTTTTGAATTTTAAAAGTGATCATATTATGTAAATTATAAAGGCATAGGTATAGCATTAATTTCAGTATATAATATAATATTATATTATGGCCATTTAAACTTATTCGTCTCGTGAAATTATTTGTTTTTAAATGTACAGTAATATTATTATTATTTTTTTTTTTTTTTTTATCGATCTAAAATAAATGATCGACGACAATTGCTATTAGTTATTGCTGTTATAATATTAATTACAATTATTATTATTTTTTTGTATATTTTTGATTATATATTATTATTTTATTTAGCTGGTTTTTCATTTTTAACTTTTCAATGCAATACATAATTTAACAATTACACTAACCCTCACTCGTGTTTTAATCATATTGATGTCTAATTCATACTTCTTATTCGTTGAAAAACAAATAATAATTTATCGTAAATGTTGTTAAGTTTTATTTTAGTTTGCTCTGAGATCACAATATTATAAAGAAGGCTAAGTACCTATTTTATATGATTTCAAAGAAATGTTTATCAGTTTTTATTTTAAAGTTATTAAATTATAGGTAGATATATACCGTTTATTTCAATTGAGTAATTTTTTTTATTTCATTAAATAATATATTATTATATTGTGGACTTTAACGACTTAATAATATTCGTCTGATAAAATTATCTATTTAGAATAAGTAGAATAGTTCAAATGTACCAAATTCATTGCGATGGTTTTCAGTTTTCAATACAATACGAAATTTAACATTAATCACACTAACCCTTAATCTCGTGTTAATCATATTTACACCGAATTCGTATTACTTATCATTTATTGACAAAAATAATCATTTATAGTAAAGGTTGTAAAGTTTTATTTTAGTTTGCTCTGCGATCGCAATATCACACAGAAAACCTAGTACCTATTTAGAGTACCTGTCTTAAGAAATGTTTGCCGGTTTTGAATTTTAAAAGTGATCATATTATGTAAATTATAAAGGCATATAGGTATAGCATTAATTTCAGTATATAGTATATTATATTATGACCGTTTAAACTTATTCGTCTCGTGAAATTATTTGTTTTTAAATGTACAGTAATATTATTATTATTATTATTATTATTATTTTTTTTTATCGATCTAAAACAAAACATCGACGACAATTGCCATTAGTTATTGCTGTTATAATATTAATTACAATTATTATTATTTTTTTGTATATTTTTGATTATATATTATTATTTTATTTAGCTGGTTTTTCACTTTTAACTTTTCAATACAATACAATATTTAACAATAATTACACTAACCCTCACTCGTGTGTTAATCATATTGATGTCTAATTCATATTTCTTATTCGTTGAAAAACAAATAATAATTGATCGTAAAGGTTGTGAAGTTTTATTTTAGTTTGCTCTGCGATCACAATATTATACAGAAAGCTAAGTACCTATTTTATATGATTTCAAAGAAATGTTTATCTGTTTTTATTTTAAAAGTGATTAAATTATAGGTAGATATATACCGTTTATTTCAATTGAGTAATTTTTTTTATTTCAGTAAATAATATATTATTATATTATGACCTTTAACGACTAAATAATAATATTCGTCTGATAAAATTATCTATGTTTGAAAATATTATATTTTATTTAGAGCGTTTTTCAGTTTTAAATAAAATAAAAAAAATAAAAATACACTAACTCTGGATCGTTAGTTAATCGTAGGTATTGATGTCAAATTCATATTTCTTATTTGTTCTCAAAAAATTAATCATTTATTGTAAAGGTCGTAAAATTATATTTCAAATTGCTCTGTGATCACATTACAGAAAGTTAAGTATTTCATATCATTTTCGAGGAACACTTGCCTGTTTTAATTTTATGAGCAAATATCTGTAAATTAAAGTTGCTTAGGTATTTAACTTTTATTTCAGCCGAGTAAATTATTTTATTCTACAATAATAGTATATGCCTTTAACGGCTTATAGGATATAAAGGACATACTTCGATCCGCCTCGTCTTTCGATAACATCAGGTTGACAATTCCTTTTTTCCAAGGAATATTTTTAATATTTTTTTTTTTTTTTAAATGTCGTAATAATGCGACCTACCTATACATTATATTTTGTATATTAAACGTTCCCCACGGTTTTCGTAACCCCGTCGAACCACCGACCTTCTAAGACCTTCTCCGAAGACATTTTCCGCGTATGACCTTTTCGGATCGAAAAAAACGAACAAGAAAAAAGCCATTCACTCACCCCCCCCCCCCTCCCATCTGAACTTCGCCATCGCTCGTATATTCGACGGGGGGTCGGCCTACACCGATGCCCACCGATATATAAGTACGATTCATACAAAAATATCACAGACGGAGACCTTTTGTACGAAAATTTCAATACGTGGGTCCAAGTCAAAGTGTATATTTCGGTTTGCCGCCATCGATCGATCCCACGACGTGTGGTATAGGAGGTACCCGAGTCGTGGTCTTGAGTGTTAAAAAATGCATTTTTTTTTTTACGACACCGGTCGTATTTCTGCAGTCGTTATCCGCGGCGTTGTCGGTGAAT